CTCGTCGTTATATTTAATAACTTAATTTCACAAAAACCCATTTATAAATAAATTATGTGACAACTTTAATTTCTTTATACACATATGATATAATTTATACCCTTACACTATCAGTCCATGATTTACAAGATCAGAATCATGTCTTTCTTAAATGAAAATTGAATAGTATGAGTTTGTGTGTGTGTTTGTGTGATATTTATAAACCAGGAACGGCTGGGTGCGAATACTCTGTACTATAAAGACCAAAAACAATAAGTGTAGATTTCTCACAATTCCCACCTACATGTCACTATGCCATAATCTCGCACTTAAGTATGTACTTGGTACTTATATCAGTATACGTACGTCATAAAAGAACCAAAGTACTATGACTCTACAGGAATTATCTATCAAGGTTTATTGCCCGACCAAATGAAAACAGCTAATCGAGATTTAAAACCAATGACCTCAAAATATTATTATTAACCTTCCCCATTTAAATAAATACGACAAGATGCGATTACACAACAAATAAGTCAACACACAGACGATGATTGTATGCTAGTTACATAAAATAACTTTCTTCATTTAAAACTTCTATAGAGATAATCTAAAAATATTTAAACGTCATATTTCAAAAAAAAAAGATTAAGAATAGATGATTTAATTTTTAATAGTCTACGTATTTGTTGAAGTCCATATGGCACCCAATGGAATAAACTGTAATATGGCATTGTGCTCATAAAGTATGATGTGGGTGCCATATGTAACTCTTTCCAATTTCCATAAGGGCTTGCTTCATATTTTTAATGTTGAGTTATGCCGCTTTGTACAAATAAGTTTTCATCACTTTTTTAACTTTGAGTAATTATTGAGTCAACCAACATTCACGCTTTATTTATCTTCACAGACCTCAATGTTGCTAAATACTATCTTGCCTACAGAACAAATATATTGTTATCCCTTGATAACCCCTTACAACCAAACCCCAAACAATATTATTTTGTCTTGTGTAAATCACATCGTTTAGACTGTTTGATAAAGGAATAAGGTACTTACAATTCACACGAAGACCCCAACATATACTTTAAGGAGACTAACAAAAGATGAAAATTTAATCCTAAACAATCATAGGTTATATTTCCATCAGAATTACAAGCAAGTATCGAGTATAGGATCTTCCTTCGCCCTACAGGATATCCAAATTAGATCAGCGTTTTTACAGACAACGTTATATTGGTGTTCGGAAGCTCTTTCTAAATTATAAGCATCTACATGTATTTAAAGTCCATTAAAACCATACTGTGGAACCACCTACTCCACTGACAATATGAACCATAATTGGATTCTAAATTAATCCAAAGATCTTCATGAGTACCTACAATCTAAGTTCCTCTCCTGTAATAGTATAAAACATTTGACTTCTCTACCCTTCACACAATCCTTCTCATTCTAAAAGACATCTTTAAAAAATTAGTCCGCTTTGTCTCAAGAAAGATTGGCTAACATATATACAAATAACCCGATTTTAGCAGAGACAAATCATACTTATATTGTAAAAAACTACTTTGTTTCAAACAAGATCGCATGTCTGTGTTTACATACTATCTAGATACTAGGTATTATCTAAACGCAGGCATGACTTGATATTATATGAACGCAGACATGACTAGATATTATCAAAAAGTAGACATGACTAGATATTATCTAAACTCAGACATGACTAGATATTATCTAAACACAGACATGACTAGATATTATCGAAACACAGACATGACTAGATATTTTCTAAAAGCAGACATGACTAGATGTTATCTAAAAGCAGACATGTTTAAGCTGTAATTTTTTTTTATCGAAATCATGTTTGTAACGTTTGCTGGACGAATATTTCAACAACAAGAATAATATTTCTATAAACACCAACTGACCTCATCCTATTGCGGACTTTCTCCCTTATTCGTATGAGAAATACTACATACAGTAGCATCTCGTATTTTTTTTTTTTTTTCTTTTTCTAATCTATTTATAAAGATGATGTCTCCTTAAAGATTATCTGATCTATAAAATAGAATTTAAATAAAGCATTTCATCCATACTTCTGCTGTTTCATATCTGACTTACCGTTATTTGTAAAGAGAACCGATCTTTAAATTTTAATGTTCCAATTGTGAACTTCTCTTTGAGAAGCAACATTCTAACAGCACGATCCTGCATATGAAGTATAAATATCTCTCCAAGGCCTGCATTTCCTATCATGTATTCTTATAAAGGATTGGTTGTCACAAGGAACCTATTCAACCAAGCAGTATCACTGGTAAAGTTGATGTAGCTTCTTGTTGTGGACGCCGTCTTGATTTGATTGGCAGTTATAGAATATCTGTGTTACAAATGATGATTTATATTTTCCACTTGTCGCCACAATCCCGTTCTCTTCACTTGTGACATCATCGGATGAGACTTATCACCGTATGTTAACTTTCCATGATCACCACGATGGATGCCACAAGTAGAACAGAAACTACTGACCCTTCCATACTCACTTTTTGTGAGGTTCGTGTAACTCATTCTTTGGTTTTCTGTGTATTGTGTTTGTGAGGTTCATGTAACTCAATCTTTGGGTTTCTGTGTATTGTTCTTGTGAGGTTCCTGTAACTCAATCTTTGGTTTTCTGTGTATTGTTTTTGTGAGGTTCGTGTAACTCAGTCTTTGGTTTTCTGTGAGGTTCGTGTATCTCAATCTTTAGTTTTCTGTGTATTGTTTTTGTGAGGTTCATGTAACTCAATCTTTAGGTTTCTGTGTATTGTTTTTGTGAGGTTCATGTAACTCAATCTTTGGTTTTCTGTGTATTGTTTTTGTGAGGTTCATGTAACTCAATCTTTAGGTTTCTGTGTATTGTTTTTGTGAGGTTCGTGTAACTCAATCTTTAGTTTTCTGTGTATTGTTTTTGTGGGGTTCGTGTAACTCAATCTTTGGTTTTCTGTTTATTGTTTTTGTGAGGTTCGTGTAACTCAATCTTTGGTTTTCTGTGTATTGTTTTTGTGAGGTTCGTGTAACTCAATCTTTGGTTTTCTCTGTATTGTTTTTGTGTGGTTCGTGTACCTCAATCTTTGGTTCTCTGTGTATTGTTTTTCATTTCTCCTTTGGTATTTTACTCCATTTTAAAATATGGTCTAGATGTGCCTTAATATTTGAATAGATCAATTTGGTCATTATTTTCTTGTTATATCGATTCCAAAATACACCAATAAAACAAAGGACTAAAAGGTAAACAATGTTTTATGTCGCATTTAAAGTAGCACCTGATTTAATTGACGGATTTGACAAATCCCTTATAACCAAAGGCTTTAATATTGTTTTGTCCTGTGTTCGTCTTTCGTTGTTGGTTCGTACATCTGTCTTGTTGCTTTTTCTCGTTCGTTTATTTCATACTGGATTGAGATTTCTTACTCCTTTTCTAAAACAAATATCTTTGCTTGTTTCTACAATCCATTCTTTAACTTCTTTGACCTCGTCTCTATGCGTTTCTGGTTAAAGGCACTTCAGAAGCAGCTAAATTAATATGTTTCACTGTTACAAGTACCTTTTGTAAGTTCCATCTGGGTTATAATAGATATGGTAAATACATCATCGGACAAGGGAAGGCATCGACATTGGCCCTGTTTTGAGACACAAATTATTTGGGTTTTTTTTTTCAATTCTAAAAATGTTCTTAAAACTTTAAAAATTAATCGAAAGATTTATAAAATTTCGGAATATACAAATCAAGTGTATACATTTCGGCTTGTAAAATTTTTGGCTTTGATAGACTAAGTTTAGGGTATATTCAAAAAAGCGTTTCGAAGGCAACAAATCAAATATGTTTTACTTGAGTGTACATATAGAAAATTCAGTGTATTATGATGTTTGTCTCCGAAATCTTATAAAAATCTCTCTCTCTCTCTCAGTTGGTTGATAACGTTTGATTTTGTCAGTTTTATTCATTGTTTGTCGCTAAGATTATTTTAATTTAAAATAGTTGATTAAAATTAGTGGAACATGCATCTTTTGCTATTCATTTTTTTTAATTTTCCGATATGATAATTTTAAACAGTTAGAATGCATAATTAATCAGATGCTGTTAAGATTCTATTTCAATACAAGTTCAGCCCTGGACTTCATGTACACTTTACATGAAAAAAGACGTACATTCAAATTGTAATCTACCGCCTTTGTTAGTTGCATCATAAAAAAGCGCAAAACTATATTTCTGCCTGATAAAGATTTGATAGGCGCATCATGCAGAACACATAGCATTCATCGAGTAACAATGTTTGATCACTCATGTAGTGTAATCCTTGTTCTATTTAGCTATTGTGAATTGTATAGAAAGTTGTTGAGGAAGTGTCATTTTGTCTCCTGCATTTTCAAGAACCTTGTCGCAAACTGCGATTTACTAGTACTTCCTTTTTGTAAAATCAACATCTAAACAATGACTACAATATGAAGTGTGGTCAGATAATTTATAAAATAAAAGAAGAATGTGTCTGAGGACACGAATGCCCCCAATCAAGCTTCAAACAAACGAAAATGGGACGGACGGACGGTCAAAGGTAACACTAAATACCCCGTCGCCTACGGCGGGAGCATAAAAAGGAATCTGGGCATGTTCATTTGTTTTTGCTGCGCATAATCCAACCTCAGTCAAATCCAATGGCAAGTTGAACATGTCACAAGAAAAAAGAATATCTGAGGAAAATTAATATGCAATGAAGTATTTTTTAAACCCTCGTCTCCGCCAAATCGAAATTTTGACCATAAAGTTATCGTAGATATGATGCCAGTCAAGCATGTGTTTAGCTTTGACTAGGTAGATTATGTGACCAATTATTAGGATTTTTGTAAAATGAAAAGGGTTAACTTAGAATAAATTGAAATACATGTAAATATTTGCATTTAATACAAATGTATTTATATATGTCGTCAAGATAGTATTACTATAGTTTTTTTTTTCAAGAGGCACGATTTGAAGAATGAATCTATAGTTAAGAGTCGGCGCAGTTTATACCGGAAGGACAAGCCGCTAGATCTGTATCCAAATAATCCTGAATTGATTTTGCCACAGTGTCACAATTTCCTACAATTCTGAAACGTGTGCGAGTATGTCTGTCATTTTTAACATCAAATAGCCATTTGAGTCCACAATTGCATTCAATTTTATTGTTTGACAAATCAACAATAATGTATCCGGGTTGGTGTCTCCGAATCATAGCCTCTAACGCACATGGTACCCGTTTAATCTGGATACCTTTCAGTTCAAGTCGGCGAAGCTTTGTTTGATTAATGAACGCTTTGTCGGAAATGTATAAAATAGGGTTGTTATTCATTTTCAAGGTTAGAAGCTCGGCTGACTCCTTTAGGTCATTTGTTTCTATTGCATGTATACTGTTGTTTGACAGATCTAAAATGTTTAGGTATGTAATGTCCTGGATAGCTCCCGGAATCCGGGTTATTCCAGAATGTTGGAGACTAAGGCTGGTAATTTGGGTAACAGCTTTTGCCGATTTGTCACTTACGAATTTTAAGTTGTTTTCGTCCATGTTAAGTTGATCAAGTCGATCAAAACTTTGTAGAACTTCTGGAAATGTTGTGATATTGTCATCTTTGAGTGACATTTGATTGAGAAATGGTAGAAAACCTTTAATGAGAGGGATCCGAACTCCATAATCTCCTACCTCCTGGTTATGGTCAAAATGCAAATCTTGAAGATATCGGAGTCTAGAAATAGCCAACGGTACAGATCGAAGTTTGGTGTTTGCTAATGTCAGTCGAAGCAATGTTCCTTCAAATCCATGAAATGAACGGATTGGCATGATTGTAATGTCTGCAGCAGTAAGTATAAGCTCCTGTAATTTTACCAGATGTGTCAACGTTGTTGGCCATCTAGTAAGTTCAGTTCCACCGATTTTTGTTCCGAATGAAAATGATAATAAAGTATCTCCTATATCACGTAAGATATTTTCGTTAAAGTTATAGTAACGGATTGGATTTCCAGAAACGTCCAGGGTTTCTATGTTTGTAAGTTTTGACAACGATCGTGGGAGTATAGTTAAGTCATTATCTTTTAAACTTAATAATCTTAAACTATTTTCCAAACCACCGAAAGAGCCATAACGAAGGCTATAATCCGTAAGCTGACAATTTTCAAGAAGAACTTCAGTGAGCCCCCAGTTAGTAAATGAAGTATCGTTAATTGTTAAGTTACTGTTTCTAACTTCTAATCGTAGAAAGGCACTGCCTCCAGTCTGTGGCACTATCTGGTCAAGATCTTCACATTTTACTATATTACCTTGACATTGACATTTACCCTGCATTGCAGGAGGTAAAATGCATGTTTGACGTCTCTGCAGTGTAATTGACGATATCAACTGAAACAGACTAAGCGAAAGAACCTGAAAATAAAGCATACACACTAACACAAGTGAAACAATAATGAAATCACAGAATGCGCACAAATACTCATGCAAATGACTAAACCTGGTGATATATGGTGCATGATGCACTTTTCACCAAACTCGACTGTCTTTTTAAAATTATAAATTGTCCTCTAACGTATACGTATAGACAGAGACGATTAAACTATGAAGGTCAATGTTCATTAAATAGGGTCTCTAATAATTGGCGATGTGGCGCATTTTTCAAAAAGTTGCATACACTAGAGGCCTGTTGAGGTTGGAATAAAAATCGAAAGTTCTCTTTTGTGTTCTGAAATATGATAAATGACCATATCTTAATATGATACAAGACTTTACAGTCTAATATCTTCCCCTCAATTATGATAAAATTGCATTGAAGAAATGGGGGAAATAATTGGGTACCCGTTCCAGATCGGGTGTCTTCCGCCATCTTGGATTGTTAAATAGCAGAAAATAATAGGGTTATATCTTTAATGAATTGTACATATTTTGAGAGGAATGCAATACATTAGTAATGATGTTCATCTTAACAAAGAAAATTATGTGTTATATCTTATTTTGATAACTGTTTTTTTTTACTAATGCAGAATCTTTTTGCTTGATTTTTGTTCAACTTTGCAATATAAGGGGAGATAACTCAGATACTATTAAATTTATAAAGGAATATGTTAGGAATTTACCTGTTTTGTTTTGTGGCAAGACAACGAGGCTCGTGACCCCAATTTTTATTTGTATTTTCAGAAAGTCCATTATACGAGCTATCTTCTCATATTTTAACTTAAAATTCAATGATCGTGTGTTTTCTTTTTTATCACACAATATTGGATTTTTCATGCATAATCTTTACAAAATCTGACAATTTTGCACAACCTGTAGCTTGAAAAAATCCCTGTGACCCATTCCTTTTATTAAATTTATAAAAAAAAAAGCCTGATATGAACTACATTTGGTATATTATTAAAAAAATTTATGAATTCTAGTTTAGACCTCTCACCTACATTAAGGTTCAACCTAACAAATGGGTAAAAATGGCTGTGTTTTCAGCTAAAAATATACTCTGAGTACAGACAAACCTGTACAGATGAAAACATTTGTTAGGCCTAGTATATATATAAAAGTTAAATGCATTTTATGTTTCAAGCAGATAAAACTTCTTTTTTTTTTAGATTTTGATGGGCATTTTTTATTCGTTCCTGTAGATGGCGTAAAAATAAACTAAATTGGGTTAAATCTTCGAGATTGCCTTCTCAGCTAACAACTGTATTGTATTGTACTGATCAACTCGGACAATAGAAGGCAATCGGTGAGTTGAAGGGTGTAACTGAGTGGACAGTATTAAATTTAATTCAGTTGTTTGTTTGTTTTTACACCAACAGCAGGAACGAAAAAAAATGTTCATCGAAATCCAAAATTGTTTAAACTTTCTGAAACACATAATGCACTTAAATTTTATATATCTAGTGGATATCAGGCCTTAAAACTTTTCCAACTGCACAGGTTAGTCTGTACTCGGAGTAGTTTTTGCGGTGTAAACACAGCCATGTTTGTCCATTTGTTATGATGAACCTTGAAACGTCTAATAGTCACTTAGACTAGACCTATGTCACTTAAACTACACTTATGTCTCTAAGACAAGACATATCTCTTAGACTAAACTTATGTCTCTTAACCTAAGCATATGTCTCTTAGACTAGAATTGTGTCACTTAGACTAGATTTGTCTCTTAGACTAGATTGATTGATTGATTGTTGGTTGCTTAACGTCCTCTCTTAAACTAGACTTATATCTCTTAGACTAGACAAATATCACTGAGAATAGACAGATGTCTCTAAGACTAGATATATATCACTTAGACTAGACTTATTTTTACTTAGACTAGACCTATTTTTCTTACAGTAGACCTAATATCATTTAGACTAGAAATATGTCTGTAAGACTAGACTTATGTCACTTAGACTAGACTTATGTCTATCAAATTAGACGTATGTCTATCAAACTGGACTTATGTCACCTGTACTAGACTTCTATCACTAAGACTAATTTTACTGTGCGTATTGTCGTGTGTTTGTTTATTCCACATAGGCTAGAGGTATAGGGGAGGGTTGAGATCTCACAACACATGTTTGACCCCGCATTTTTGCGCTTATCCTAAGTCAGGAACGTCTAAACTTTGTTAGTCTTGTATGTTTTTTTTTTTAATTTTGGTTCATTTATATGTTTCGGAGTTTAGTGTGATGTCCATTTTCGCCGAACTAGTATACATTATTGTTTAGGAGCCAGATGAAGCCCACCTACGGGTGAGGGATTTTCTCGCTGTGTTGAAGACCCATTGGTGGCCTTGGGATGTTTTCTGCTCTTTGGTCGGGTTGTTGTCTCTTTGACGCATTCCTCGTTTCCATTCTAAATTTTATGTCACTTAGACTAGACTTTTCTTAGGCTAGACTTATATCCTTAAGACTAGACTTATGTCTCTATGACTTGACTTATATCACTTAGACTGGACTTATCTCTCTTAGACTAGACTTGTATCACTTGTATTACATCACTAAGACTAGACTATGTTACTTAACATGACCTCATGTCACTAACACTAGATTAATATTACTTAGTTTAGACTTATGTCTCTTAGACTAGACCTGATGTCTCTTAGACTAAACGTATGTCACTTAGACTAAATTTATGTCTTTTAAAATAGACTTATGTCACTTAAACTAGATCTTTTGTCTCTAAGACTAGACTAGTACCCTGCCACGTTCACTCTGTGTTTTTGTTACTTGTTTTTGCTTTGTATCTATCTGATGAGTTAAGCCCTTTTCAACTGAATTTTATAGTTTGTTCATATGTTATACTGTTATACCACTGTCCCAGGTTAGGGGAGGGTTTGGCGCCCGCTAACATGTTTAACCCCGCCACATTCTGTATGTGCCTGTACCAAGTCAGGAGCCTGTAATTCAGTGGTTGTCGTTTGTTGCTGTATAGACTAGACTTATGTCACTTAGACTAGACTTATGTACCTTAGACTAGACTTATGTCACTTAGACTAGACCGATGTCACTAAGACTAGACTTATGTGACTTAGACTAGACTTATATTTCTTAGTCTAGAAATATGTCTTTATGTACAGACTTATGTGACTTAGACTAGACCGATGTCACTAAGACTAGACTTATGTGACTTAGACTAGACTTATATTTCTTAGTTTAGACTTATGTCACTAGGTACAGACTTATGTCACTTAGGCTAGACTTATATCACATAGACTAGACTAATATCTCTTTTACTAAACTTAAATCTCTTCGACTAGACTTATACCACTTAGACTAGACTTATATCACTTAAACTAGACTGATGTCCTTTAGACAAGACATATGTCTCTTAGACTAGACTATATCACTTATAATAGTTTTATGTCACTTAGACTAGAAGACTTATGTCTCTAATTCTAAGACTGTGTCTCTTAGACTAGACCTTATGTTTCTAAGACTAGACTTATATCTCTTAGACTTAACTTGTGTCTCTTAGACTAGACTTATGTCTCTTAGACTAGACTTATATTATTTGACCTATAATAATTCTTAACTTTTTATACATTGTGACTTGGATGGAGAGTTGTCTCATTGGCACTCATACCACATCTTATTTATATTATGTCTCTTAGACTAGACCTTAAATCACTTAGACTACACGTATGTCTCTTAAACTAGGCTGATGTCACTTAGACTAGACATATGTCACTTACCACACTTAAAGTCTTCATTCTGTTTCTGTAAATATATGAAAATATGCGTTTGTTATAGACAATATGTTAGACTACATAGTTGAACTAAGATTTACTAAGTTTATTGTCGATACGGGTAGATTCAGTAGCCATCACAAACGAGATATCACAGTCATCCTAATTTTTACGGTGATAATGTTTATAATAAAGCCCGCAAATATAGATACGATCCATGTAAACTTATGGCTCCTTTGAATGAACTTTTCACTTAAAGGTTATCAATTCAAAACAGTGGTAAAAATCTTTAAATATTGATTATATTTGTACCAACATTGATTTTGTTTTTGAAAAATTAAAACATAACTAAATATATATTGCTATATATGAACATTATTGAGAACTCATTATCTTACATCCTACCGATTCTGTTTATATGTTATTATAATACTTATATTTTGGCATTGCACAAGATCATGCGTTTCCCAAACTGTTTATGACGTCATTACACTAAATCCGTTGGATGTGTACTGATTAAGTCTTAAGTCTGGGTGAAGTCTGATTTATTTTAGTTGATTGACTTTGAACTAGGTTTCAGTAACTGCGAGTACTCTTATTTCGGTGCTTTGTGTCTATTGTTTTAGTTGTTTTTGCGTCTCGTACAGATTTTTGAGGTAAGCTAATTGCAACTGAAGTTTACAGTTTGTTCTTATTTTGTGCTGTTACACCATTGTCCCAGGTTAGGGGATTCAGAGGATTGAGCGTAAACAAACATGTTTAACCCCGCCACATTATTGATGAGTCTGTCTCAAGTCAGGAGTCTGTAGTTCATTGGATGTCGTTGGTTCGTGTTCGTCATATTTGTTTTTCGTAAATTGTTTTGTTATAGATAAGGCCGTTAATTTTCTCGTTTGAATGTCGGGGCCTTTTATACCCAACTATACGGTATGAGTTTTTCCTCATTGTTGAAGGCCGTAATGTTGCCTATGCCACTTCATTTGAACTTTGGTGGATAGCTGTCTCATTGGCAATTATACCACTTCTCCTTATTTTTATATTTATAATATTTCCCAATTCTTGTGTAATTAGCCTCTCGATTGAAAATATCCCATTCCAACTATATTGTTTTTAAAATGGTTCAATTTTGATAAACCTTTTTTACAGTGAAATTAAAAAATCAATT